TCATTTTACCCCGCTGACCCTCCACATCGTCCCCAGTTAAATACCCCGAGAGTTCATTTTACCCCCTTTAACAGGATTTCTTTTGACAAACAAGTGGAAGTAAGTTGGAGAAGAGTTCAAGCGTCAGTCTGTAGTTGGTGTGATTATCACAATAGGTCATTTTATACAGCGAGGTCACGTTTCTGTCATCACACATTAATACAAGTTGGGCTCGTTGACTCCAACAAGAGTCTCAGTTTTCACGTCATTCCCACCTGCATTTAGATATCTTGAGGTCAGAGGTCAAGGGATTCCCCCACTACAGCCTCTGGAGGAGAATAATGTCCGTTTAAAAGTCAAATTTCAAACATTTCAAGCTTTAAACTTAGAAATAAATTCACAATAAAAGTTTACGTTCATAAAACACATAACTCTCGAATAACATGTAAGCCGACATGGACAAGACACTCTCATAGTGGTCTGATAAAAAAACATTTAAACGTATATATTATCTTATATTTCCATGATTAAAAACCCTAAAAAGGCGACTTTGAGGTCGAGAATTTACTTTGAAACTCAGTAAACATGTTTAATGTCATCAGATTATTGTACATTTTATTGTTAAGATTCATCTTTATTGTATTCAATTAAGATTTTGTTCACTTGTAGGGCATTGCTTTAACATTAAATCTATTAAATGTATGATATATAACATATTATGTATATTATTAGACATCTTTTCTTGTATTGTGACCCTTATAATTGCTTTTCTTCCCTAGGTTTAATGAATGATTACTATTTAATGATAAAGTTGACACACTGTTACCACGGAGGGAACTTCTCTGGACACATTAGGGTTAAATTAATGCTGACAGTTGCTGAAAACAGGCTTTCCAGATAATTTTGTGCACTTCTGTTTTTAAATAGTTCGACTTTTACAGGAAACAGAGGTTGACGTTTGCTATACGTGACTCTGTGCTGTCCTGTGTTCACTCAAACATCGCCCGTCTGTGTATACAGAGCGAGTTATCTTCTTTAGTTGTGTTTAGATCAGTGGTTCCCAACCCCCTTTTCTATCACTGAGTAAACTAAGTGACATATTTTATAGATATATCATATTTTCAGCACATACAGAAGAGCTGATAATGAACCCACACACTGAACAGGAAGTTTGTGTAAAACGAGCGATTTGGATGAATGTTGATCATTTTCTGTGAATATTACATCAGAAATTAGTTTTTTATGATATTTGTCTGTGTTATGTTTAGTTTAAATTATCATTAATACTTAACAGGCTTCTTTTTTTTGACAAATTCAGTGCTTTCTTCTCCTGATACTAATGTATAATGTGCCATTGTTCTAATACAGACTGTTTGACAGACAGCGAAGGCTCTGAGAGTAAGAACTGAATTAATTTTCTTCACATAAATAAATGAAATGCTGCAATATTGACCTACAATGTATATATTTAAAGTTTCCTTACACCCCTAGTGAAGGTCCCGACCCCCCAGGTTGGGAACCACCGTCACAGATCAATGCAAGGACTTAATACAAAGCAGGAAGTACAGTTAAATGCTCTATTTCTATGATGTCTATATGTAAATAAAGTAAGAGATGCTTGAAAACAACACACTGCATCTCATCAGTCTGTCTCTTTCAAACCCTCAGAGCAGAGAAAGCTGCAAAAGGACATTAAAAAAGTGTTGAAAAGTATGTTTTTCACCAGTTTTTGTGACAATTTATCCAGTTATATTAACTTACATTAATATATTAAACTATATATTGTTCAAGCATTTACACAGGATATTATCCTAACTAACTCTCATACACATTATTAGTATGGTTATATATTAAAATATATGAGCAGACTTGCTTTAGATGTGTCGTCAATCACAGTGAAAATGAACTTTATTGTCACATACAATCATACACAGAACAATGTATAGAAACATTAATCCTCTGTATTTAATCCAGCCTACGTACAGTGAGACTGGAGAATTAACTTGTGTACATGTTGTTTAATGTTGAAGGAGACCCACACAAACACGGAGAACACATGCAGAAAGCCTGTGATTAAAGTAAAGATAACGTCATCCTGACAAATGACAATGATTAAAAGGTTTTCATAAAGAAAAACAGAACAGAAATTAATGGAAGATAATGGTTAAAGCTGTCACATTTAATGCACAAACACCACTCTCCTCTCTTTTGTTCCTCTTTAATGAGAAAATGAATGGAAGATAATGATACTGGCATGTTAAAAAAAGTACATAATTTGTAATTAAAGAGCAAAAACTTCTTCCTTTAACACCTTTTGTGCAGTTTACTGATACACTAGCGCCACTAAATGTCTCTGAACTTAGCTTAGATAATACATAACTGTCTGTCGCTTAGCAACCACATTGTTTGGATGCCAGCAGATAGTTGGTGGTAAAACAGTGAAATTAAATGCTTTCACATTGGCACAATGTGCAAAGTATTTGATTTATAGCTTCCTATTGATCGCTGTGTGCCGTGATTACGTTGCTAGGTAACATATTTTATGCACAAACACCCCTGTCCTCTCTTTTAGGTCCTTCTTCAGGAGGAGATTAATGGAAGATTATGGTAATAGCATGCGGACATTTGTAATTAAAGAGCAAAAACTCACTTTTAACAGCACCTTTGTGCAGTTTCCTGATCCATTAAATGTTTTAGATGTCTCTCTAACCACAGCAGCTGAGCTTATAGGGAGATGTGAGTGGATTCCCTCGTGATGCTGCAGCCTATTAAAAACCCCTCGCTCTTGTTTAACCTTTGCATTTGGAGAAATTTCTACAGACTCAAAAGATGTCAAATGTCAGACGTTTCCTCACCCTCATACCTCTGAACTGGGACACTTCTTAAAATACCGAACTCCACAGAGGAATGTACCAGAACATTCAGTGTCTACGTAACTCTCAGGTTGCCTTTCTTTTTTCTTTCCTGACACTCACAGCCGAGAGAGAGAGAGAGAAAGATGTTAGACGAGTGTAAAGCTTCACACTATTTAAAATAGCTTTCATGTGTTCTCAGATTCGGTCCTAATCCTTCTGGGGCTGACAGAGCAATTCCCCCTCTGTGTGCTCTGAGGTTTATTTTCCACCTTGTTGTAAAAAAAAAAGTTTGGATTCATTTCAACATTTAGATGAATTCTGCTTCAGTTTAAACCTCTGATAAGTCATTTCTTCTGCTCTCCCCTTTGTGCCTTGCTCACATCCATCCCACCATATTATTTATTATTATATCAGGCGTTTTGGGGTGACGTGGCAGGAGCCAATCAGCACCACGGAGAGCTCCTGCATCCACCCGTCGTCATGGGCAACGCCCCGGTAGTAGCTGGCACGGACACATACGTGTATCAGACGTACGTCGATGTTTAAATATTTATTTATTTATGAGTCGTTGGCACGACGTCACTTGATTGTTTTTTTTTTAAAATAACAAATCAATCAATAAATAATATTTATTTATGTTTATATCACTCAGTTCTGATTGGTCTGTGGCCGTTGGAAGAGCTCGTGCCACCTGCGCACATAACGGTTCTTGCCTGTCGCTTAGCAACCGCGTTGTTTGGCTGCCAGTCAACGGCTGAAAGTTGGCGGTAAAACGATGAAATGAAACACTTCCGCATTTGTGAAACGTGTTATTTTGTTTAGCTGTTCACAATCAAAGAGTTAATTAGTGTTTGATTTATAGATTTATATAGATCGATCATATCGATCACAGTGTGCCGTGATTATTGATTATTATACATTATTGAAAAACCTTTGTAGACAATACGATACGTTCTGTTTACAACAAGTGTTTAGATATTATTTTATTTTATAAGAGAAAGAAAATTAAAAAAGGAAATACTTAAAACACAAATACATATATGTTTTCAAATGTGAAAGTAAATATACAATGTTCAGATGTTTTGTTCAAAAGTAATTTCATATTATAAATGTTAAATCTATAAGGAGCAAATTAATGATATAGTGTTGACTGCTGGATCACAAATGTTAGTTTAAACCATATTATTACAGAAAGAGCACATTTGTCATCAATGGAGTTTATAGGATAACATCTATATGATTATAAATAATAATTCTTAGTAATAGCCTAATATTTAGGGGAGAGTCAACCATTAACTATTAATAATGTTTTACTTTTTTTTTTTGTCAAAATGGAAATGCCATCAGCAGTAATGTTGTGCCATATTACTGGAGCTACAGATAGATATAAGGATATATATAGATAAAGATATATACAGATATACATAGGCCTAGATATATACAGATAAAGATATACATAGATATTTAGATATATAAAGATATATATATAGTTATATAAAGAAATATAGATATATAAAGACATATAAAGATATATATATATATACATTTATATATAGATAAAGATACATACATATATACAGATATATAAAAACATATAAAGATATATAGATATATAAAGACATATAAAGACATATAAAGATATATAAAGACATATAAAGATATATAGATATATAAAGACACATAAAGACATATAAAGACATATAAAGATATATAAAGACATATAAAGATATATAGATATATAAAGATATACATATATAAAGACATATAAAGATATATAGATATATAAAGACATATAAAGATATATAAAGACATATAAAGACATATAAAGATATATAAAGACATATAAAGATATATAAAGATATACATATATAAAGACATATAAAGATATATAGATATATAAAGACATATAAAGATATATAAAGACATATAAAGACATATAAAGATATATAAAGATATATAAAGACATATAAAGACATATAAAGATATATAGATATATAAAGACATATAAAGATATATAAAGACATATAAAGATATACATATATAAAGACATAATGCCTGTCCTCTCTTTTGTTCCTCATTCATCAAGCTACGTCAGTATCCCGGGATGTGTCAGCTGTAACCCCCCCTGCTACCCTCCTACCCTGCTACCCTCCTACCCCCCCTCCATAAAGCAGGCTCTGGCCCTTTAAGGGTTATGTAGCAGGGCCAGCCGATGTAGGACGAGCCGACCGTGCGTCTGCCTGCCTGCGCTCCCCCGCTGCCATCCCCATCATGGCCTCCACACAGCCGCCACCGACACCACCGAGGATGCACCGTCCAGCCAGCGGCCCTTCCCTTCCCGGAGCGGAGACGGACGTCAAGCCGAAGCAGAGGCACCGGTAGAGGCGAGCCGCGCCGGGGAGAGCCGCCTCACATCCCCCATGCCACCCCGGTCTCCTCCATGCCTTCGTCTAAAGCCAAGTACAGCTATTCGATAAAGAGGGGTGCGAACCCGGGCGGCGGCGGCGGCGGCGGCAGCGGCGGAGACATGACAACGAACCGGGATTATTCCGTTAATCTGTCGGTGCAGCAAGTGCTCAGCCTTTGGGTGCAAGGCACGACGCTGCAGCACTTCACAGGTATGCGGAATTAACTCATGCATTTAGCATCAGGAAGGCATGCACTGGATAGTTGCTGCCATTTTATTTTATTATTTTATTCATAAGAATAAACCTACATGTGTGATATTTTCTCTTCTTTACTTTAGTCAGTAAAAAAGGTGTGTGTGTGTGTGTGTGTGTGTGTGTATTGGGGGGGGGTTATAATAAAAAAGGGGGTGCAGTTTGTAGTGAATGCCGGCCGGGGGGGGTGCACAATAAAAATGCCACTCCTCTGTCCATGTGTGCGGAGTCAGTGGATGATATGAAAATAATCACAACATGCGGCTAATTAATCTTTCTGCTGCGTGAATGCGTCTTAACTGTGTAGTAAATTAAGTGTTACCCCCCCCCACTCCTCCTTCCATCCTCTCCTCCCTTCCCCTCCTCCCTTTGTCCTGCGGTCCAGTAATGAAGGAGGAGGAGGGGGGGGTAATTAGTGGCAGCATCCTCAACTTGGGGCAGTGTGTCTGTCTGGGTTAGGGAGATATTGAGGATTGAGCTTAAATACACGATTTTCTTTATGCACTTTTGAATGGGAGGCGATGGCAGCCTTTAATGTGTGGGTATTATGTGGCTGGAGTATCCTGAGGGGCAGATAGCTGAAGGGGCAGTTACTGATGCAGGTTAGAGTGTATTAAGATGTTTTCTGTACACCTGTTATTTTATTTAATATTGATGATTTATTGTGTCTTTATTATTAATGTTCTCAAGTTCTCAGCAGCAGGAAATTACAAAATAATAATAATGTAGGAACAAGAAAAGTAATGTGTGGGTATTTTATCTTTTCCTGTGCAGGCAGGCAGAACTTCCTCAGCAAGAACTTGATGCAAATATGCAGATATATGTTTATTCATATGCATATTTATACAATAATATACATTTAATTAGATATTTATATATATTTATGTTAACAACAGGGCTGCACTGTCATATAAAGATTATAGATTCTTCCTTCCTGCTGTGTGACAGTGAAGCAAAAGGCGGACGTGTGGTCATAACTTGAGTTGACGCATACACCCGCTTTATGAAACGCTGACATCCTTTGCTGAGAAACACATGAAGCGAGAACGCGAAAAGAAAAAGAAGAAGAAGAAGTTAATGATGCTGACTCAGCAGGAAGCTGCAGCAGTGCAATGTAGAAGTTGTTTTTTTTTTCTTTTGCGGAAGCAGCGAGTAGAAAGCTGTGAGGAGCTGAGGCCCCCGGAGTTTACTGAGCAGGGTGCATGAAAACTGCCACCCGATCCCACCCACCTGCCCTCCCTGCCCCCCCCCACAGTTCACCAACCAGGTGAAAAATGACCTCCTGAGACATGAGATAAGGTCAGTGGGGTTGAGGGAGAGAGCGACTGTGAGCCATGAACAACAAGCCCAATGCACTCCAGAAGCAGATGTAAACTTTTAAGATACGTCCAACCTCTCTTTTGCCCTTTCTTTGAGTCCCCCAGGGGGCTGGTGTGTGTGTGTGTGGGGGGGGGGAGTTGCTTAAACAAATGAATTTCCTGTTTATGATTTGTGTGCTCGCAGCAGTTTCACTTCAGCAAAAAAAAAAAAAAGGAAGAGTCGATGTTTTGGCAAATATGAGTGCGTAAGAAGAAGCTTTATGTTTCTATAAGCTTTAAAGATGATAAATATAATGAGATTAAATTAATGTAGAGTTTTGGTTTTATGTTTCAAAGGTTTTCAAAATTATTTTTAACACAGATCAGGTGAATTAAAGCATTAATGTGCATCTTTTCAGAGGATATTTCACTGTGAACTACTCCCTAGAAGCAGATACTGTCCCTATAGATGTGTTTCCTTATCATTTAAATGACCGTAATCAATACTTTATATCTCATCCAGAGTTGTTTGTTGATTTATCAGATATCTTATTTCCTCATTACGTCTAATGTTCAGCTTTAATTTACTCTCCGGGCTCTCATGTGAACATTTGGTGACATACAGAAACAGTTAGCTACTGAATCGTATGATTAAACATCTATAATAGTTATCTGTCACATTTATCTAGATCAGTGGTTCCCAACCTGGGGGTCGGGACCCACATTAAGGGCTGCCACAGCTGCCTGACGGGGTCGCGAGCCCTTATTGATTTTAAGGCGTGTAAGAAAGTTTTAAAAATATCCACAGCAGTTGGGTTGCCGCGAATAAAGACCGTCATACTCGACTTATAGTCGTTAGATAAAGCTAATAGTTGACTAGTCGTTGCACCTTTGTGATATACTATATATAATATTTATGATTTTGATTTAATTATTTAAATATATGTATTTTAACAGCCAAGACTACACATAGAATAACATTTACTAGTTAATTTCAACACAGTTTAAGATCACATAAGTCTCAAAACACGGAATAAACTACTTTAAACTTCACTAAAACAAACTTTTATACCGATACGATGCTCCTCTTCCTCCGTTATGTTCCTCACAGTGTCTTCATCCCCAGAGTCAGAGTCCTGGTCGGAGCCGCTGGGTCCCCCCATGTCGAGCTCCCTGTCCGGGTACAAGTCAGCTAATAGGACTGCTAGTGGCAGCAGCTAGCACAGTTAGAGACTCCTGGTGTTACAATAAAAAGGTCCGTGCTGCAACAATCACCCGATGCTTTGATCCCGGTGAAAAGGTGCTGCTGAACGGAGTTACGTTGTTTTTGTTTATCCTATTATACTATAATGAAAACGTTTCTAAATCAGATATAGAAAACTGACTGAAATGGTTATTTTTAAAGTTCAGATTGTTATTTAAGATGAAAACTTTAAAGACCTGAACACAGGATATATTCACAGAGCCTTCACTGTCCGATCATCAGCCTCGACCTCCGTTAATAGTTAAAACAACCAAAGAGCTGATAGAACAATGAGTAGAAACAATTAATTTGTCAAAAAAGAAGCAAGTTAAGCATCTAGGATAAATAAATATATAATACAGACAGAGAATTGTATTAAACATTCCCTAAAATTATCAGAAACACTCACATGTGATCAATATTCAGAGGAAATAATCTGCCCCTCATTCATCCAAATCACAGATTATCACCTGACTCTGAACTTTATGAAGAATTTTAGTGTCTTTTAGCGCATTGTTTTGGTTTCTTTTCAGCAAAAACGTTTTAATAAACCTGCCCGGACGCAAAAACTGGCCAACAGCAGACAGACAAAGTTATTGATTATCCGATGAACACAGTGGAGCATTTAGCAGCTGGAGGGATGTTTATCTCAGGAGTTGGTCGAGACCAGAAAAAACATCTTAAAAAAAAAAAAAAAAAACGGTGAATATTAGAGTTTAAATTCACCCTCTGGACACAAACACGGCTCTAAATAAAGGCTGCTGTTGCTCTGTGTCTGCTGGAGGTGTAAAGAGGAAGCTGCCAACACAAACACCACTGTTTTATAAGGTGATAATATGTTATTGTTGTGTTGACAGCGTCTCCTTTTATTTATTTATTTTTTTGAAAACTGGGGTGAGAGCGAATGTAGGTCTGACAGAATCGTCCAGAAAACTGCTTTTTTCTTACGTCACAGAAACAAATCAGCTCCTCAATTAAATAAAGTCAAACACAGAGAATAAAAAAGGGATAAAACGGTAAAATATAACACATAAACCACAGAGGAATGGAAGAATAAGTAAAAAAGTTGGACTCTTAAGAAGTCACAGTCACAGTGCCGCATTCGGGACAAAATCAACACCAGCTTTATCGCTACCAGCCGACCGTATCCCACCTCTCTCTGCCTCCCTATGGGGACGAATCCATCAACACCCCTGCAGAGCTCCTGCAGTCTCACCCACTTTGGACTTGTGTTCACGCTCTGCAGCGACCTGCGAGCTCCTGCAGAAACTCTGACCTCTTATCAAAAAGCTCCACCGTTGACAGGCGAGCTCTAAAAAAGCTGCCCTGCTGACAAAGACCTCCGGCCTGTACGTTGTGTGGATTAGCAGAAGTTAATGCTGTCGTGGGTCGCTCATATATCTCCGAACATGACAAGGTGCTCGATTCAACTCGCCCTCAATAGGTGTCGTCTCTCAGCTGTGACCACCTGCGCCGCCGTCCCCTGAAATTAAATGTTCGACTCAGCTTCCAACGTCTGTTAAACTGGAAAAAAATGAGCTGCCAAGAGTAATTTCCATCAGGCCGGAGAGTAAATAATGAGCCGTGTGTTTCACCGTAGCCCGTTTTCTCTCTCTAGCTGTTCGTTTAAATCTTGATCACATCACTTCAGGCTTGTAATTCATCAAGTAGTGCAACAGGAATCTCTTTTTAAACAACGTGTGTGAATGTTAGGTGACTGTCACCGATTTATCCCCAAAAAGACAGATTTTACTGACATTTGGTTCTCAGCTGGTGTTGGTGGCCACTAGGGGTCGCCAAAGCTTCACAGGCTTACTTAATTTTAAGGGGTGTAAGAAAACTTTTAAAATACACACATAGTAGGCTTATATCTCAGCATTTAGTTCATTTCTGTGAAGAAAACTAAATGAAATTGTTGTTTTTAGATTATTATTTATGATATTCACAGAACCTTCACTCTCTAAAAACCAAAATGAACAATGAGAAGGAAACACTGGATTTGTCAAAAATAAAAGCCTCTAAAATATGTATGATTGCTAAAAATAAATAAACACATATACATACATACATACAGACAGAGAGTTGTATAAAACGGTCCCTAAAAATATCAGAAAAACTCATCTCTGATGCAACATTTACAGGAAATGATCTGCTCAAAATTCATCCAAATGACCAGTTTTACACAAACTTCCTGCAGTTATTGTGTTCACTCTTTGTGTTCATTGTACAGTTTATCAGCTGTTCTCTACTGTTTTTATTATTCATTGAACGTAATATGAAATATCCGTTTAAATATGTCAGTTTACTCAATGATAGAAAAGAAGTTTCTTATTGTAAAATATTGGCTAATGGGACCTTTTTGAGCCTCAAACAGTAATTTATCAAAACTATTTGAGTCTCTTTGGTGCAGCTGCTAACAATTGAATAGTTTATCATATGTATTTTTTGAGGAAATCTTTTACGAGGTAGTAGCTTCAGCTGTCAATGTAATGGAGTAGAAGTATCATAAAATGGAAATACTCCAGTCAAGAAGTACCTCATTGCACTTAAGTACTTGAGTAGTAACTTTCCACCACTGGTGCTGATGCCGTGTGGCGTTCAGGGGACCGAGGTGGGGTTAGTGGGACGTGTCCTCCTGTGGCCCTCTGTGCTCCTATGTTGAGCGTGGTGTTAATCCGTCCCGGCTTAAATTGGCCGCCAGATGCCCGTTCCCCCTTGCAATCGATGAGGGATCCTAATGGAGCTCACCTCTCTTCCGTGTGTCTTGTGGACTGCGCGGCCGCCCTTTATTGGAGAGGTCGAGATCTGCTACTTAACAGTACTGAGAGATTCAAACTTTACAACAAAACCAACTGTAACTCGCTTAATTCTGGACCGATTTTCATTAAATTTGGTTTGTTATAAACGTGAGAGATTGGACCTGATACTGGTTACTTGATGGAATTAATTCAGTGACTGGGGACTGGATTTAATCACCTGTTGAATTTATCATGTAGACCAATTTCACATTTGGCTTAATAATAATAAAATAGATATTTGGTTTTAGATTTATAAAGAAACTGACAAAAGAAGATCGTAGCCTGCATGTCCCAGTGTCAAGTTATGTCTATTCAGAAGGTTAATATTGTGGCGTAGAGCTGATTAGATAACTGAATCAATTAATTTAATGAAAATCGGGTTCAGAATTAAGCGAGTTACAGTCAATAACTTGCGGTTCTTCACCTCCTCACTATGGCGACCGCACAGACGGTATTCAGCAGCGACCAATGAGATTTCTATGTTTCCAAATCTGTTTATCTGTGATGATGATGGGAAAAAAAGGCAATTGTGTGCGACACATGTCTGGCTAGTGGTAACACTTCCTGCCGTACCAAAAACATACCGAGCCGAACCGCTACAACGCTGCTTTGCCGCCATTTTGCCAGCAGTTGGTTGACAGCTCTGCAGGAGAAGTGTCAGATATCTTAGCCGTCAGAAACCCCCGAGCTTGTAATTAAGTTCTGAATGATTTGATAAGTTCCCCTGGGAGCCTCCTCCTTCCTCGCCTTCTCTGAGACTCACTTAAACTATTGGGACGCCCTTAATAATGGCCGACCTCCATCGATTTCCGGGTCACAGGCTGGAGGACGGAGAAGCGAGGACTGGGGAGGAAGCGTGATTAACAGAATGGAAAGCCTCTGTGACTCTCCCCCCACTCTCCATCATTCCCTCCTCTCTCGCTACACGGGGCGGTGATGGTTGTAGAGTGACAGCGTGATCTAACTGTGTGCAAGGACAAAGAGCTGTTGTGTTACTGTGCTGTCACGTCTCTCTCTGCCCGGCTGGCTGGCTGATCGCCGGATCAATAAGCAGACGTAGGCGCTCAGTCGAGTGAGGAACAACTAGGTTAGATGTAAAGATGTGAGTCTTCAGATGTTTACACCACACAACAATGTCACATTTCCTGTTTACATCCTTTTTATACAACATTCCTGCTCTCTGGAGTGGTCATTCGTATCCACGCCGGGCGCCCTCTTCCTCAGTCGATCTCTTTTCTTCTTGAATAATCTCACGGCCAGCTGGCGTCTCCTCGCTCCCACGGTGCCAGTGGTTCAAAGCAAGGCCCCCTCGCTGCTGGTGAAGTGTGATGAAGGCCAGAGGCTCTTTATGTAAAGCCTGTGTGTTAGACGGAAAGAAAGAACGAAAGAGGGATGAGGAAGAGAGAGATTTTAAACAGTTTTTCCTCTCTGATTTTTCTATAAAGATGTTTATTTTGTCTTATGAAATCAATTAATAAACTTTGGGCCCTGTTGGGACGCCTGATTTGTTTTTTTCTCTCGTCACCGTTGTGTGTGGTGGAGCTCAGTGTGTAGTTATTGTTGTCAGTCTGGGAGTTGAACAGAGCGACTGAGCGAGCAGTGGAAAACTATGATTACTGATTTATGTCCAGTCCAGCTGAAGTCCAAAAAGCAACTGCGAGCTTTTGTTCGCTCACCAGCTCGTCTGAAATCTCTCTCTCGCGGGCGGGCGGTTTGACGCATCTCGTCTCAGGTCCATTACTGTGGTTGGCTGCCTCCTTGATGAGCCCCGACTGTTGATGGTGGCGGCTGTAGATTGAAATCTTCCCTCGCAGACGTATCTGTGCATCCTGATCTGTGCATCCTGATCTGTAGCTGCAGTACGCTCACGAAATCTGTGAATCTGAATCTCTTTTACCTATGAATGGAGCAATATTTATTTATTTATCATTTTGATTTAAGATTGCTCTTAACATCAACTTGAGGGACAGATTAAATAAAGAAAGGTCTAAATAGGAGCAGCAGAGGCCAAGATATCCTGACTTTTAGTCCCTCGTATGCTGCCCTACAAAGGCAAACTGCAAGTAAGTGTTTTGACTGATCAGCCAAATGCGTTTTATGTAGAACAGCAGTTATGTGCTCATTAAGTATGTATTCTCTAAGGCTTAGGCCTAAAAATCCTGACCAATTATTTGACCTATGACCCCAAATACGCAGATACTGCAGTCTGTCTTTGTATTACCATAAACAGATTACAGTAAGAGCAGCAAACCTCTGTCATCAAGTCTATTTTAGAAATGCTGCTGACGGTCACATCCACACGGATAAAGCCGATTAATGATCAAATTTATTTGCTGTTACGGTTTATGATTGTTATACTTTCTACCTTTTCTTTAAATGAGCTTATTGAAAAAAAAGATTTGATCTGTTATTTATGCTGCAGGAAAATCATTGTGAGATGGTGCCATCCTGGAAAGAAGTCCTGGAAAATGTTTTCTTAAAAAGAGGAACCCCCTATTTAAGAAACTAAACAGCAAAAAGTAGCAACAAATAAAGTAGCATAACATGTAAATACTCAGTAACCACTGTTATTTTAATAATCACTGCAGCATTTATTAAAGGTCCAGTCTGTAACATTTAGGAGGATCTATTCATAGGTATGTTTTCATTAGTGTATAATCACCTGAATGTAGGAATCATTATGTTTTCATTTCCTTAAAATGAGACCTTTTTATCTACTGCCTTCCATGGAGTCCGCCATGTTTCTACAGTAGCCCAGAACGAACAAACCAAATTACCAGGCCACCGTCTTTTCTCCTGCACACTTCCCACAGCCCATCCTCATTCCCAGGTCGTCAAATACAGACGCGAGCAGTGTTCAGTTAGCTCCAATCGGCACTTAACCCTTCACGCTGGTCCTTTAAAGTAAACATATTGCTCTGATGGATCAACGTAAGCTGAATTAAATTGAATATATTTGCGTGTTTTCCGGCTGTATCTGATCAAACATCCTGCCTGTTTTGTGTTTTGTCTCCCCCCTTCCTCCCCCCCTCTGTCAGAGATGTGGTACTGGGTGTTCCTGTGGTGTCTCTTCTCCTCGCTCTTTGTCCACGGGGCGGTGGGGCTGCTCATGTTGGTCATGCTGCAGCGCCACAAGAGGGGCCGCCTCATCACCCTGGTGCTGGTCAGCGTGGGTTTCCTGGCCTCCCTCTCCGGAGGCGTCATCACCAGTAAGTCGTCCAGTTCCTCCACTTCTTGTTTCACTCTGAGCTTGACGGCGTTCAGCAGGAGGAAGACGGGAGGTGACAGGGAGAGGAAGATTGTTTTCTTGTTTGCCTTCCCTGTTTTGTTTATGTGACACAGGAAGCTTCAACTGCGTCATGTTGTTATCGACTCGATTTAAAACCTCGATTCAGAAAATGTGACATTTTAAGGCTGACTGCTGGTGCGTTTATAAAGACATACAAGAGAAATAACAGTAATAATGGATGTATTGATTATATATTTGGCCTTTGAAGCAAGACAGGACATCACATTAAGTATGAAATGTTCAGTAACCTGCAAGGCTGGATTTCAAAATTGGACTAAAGTGGGCAGCTACCCCAGACTCTCGGAGGCCCTGAAAAAATAGTTTGTGGTAATTTAACAAGCAAACACTTCCATTATTTAATGAAGCCGTTAACTATTAATTATGTTAATACTTTATGCACCAATCAGTCACAGTATAAACTGTTGTTTTACACACTCTGCAGTAGATTTCTGAGCATTTGTCAGACACAGAGAGTCTGATAAAGACGTGCTATCAAGTTGCATTTTGGGAACTGTAGGATGCAGCGTTAATGGACCAAACTAGGGACTAAAAATGTCGGTATTTTAGCCGCTTTGCTGCATCTTTTTAAAATATATTACCTGCATTGTCACCTGATCTCACTTAATGAGATATAGAAACTTAAGACTACACAGTATGGTAAAAAAAACCAGATATGATTAAAGATTAGTAGGAAGTCAATCCTGATGATGTGACTTTTGTTGGGGTCTTTATATGTGGAGAATAAGATTTGTAGGTCAGGGCACCTCTGCAGCTCTACAGTACTTCATTATAATGCTGCTTTGATGGCAGCTTCTGCGATTGCATATTGCACTTGTCCATATTGTGATTTCAATAATATTGTGATTAATTGTGCAGCCTTATAAACAATATAAAAAATATTAAATAAATAAAAAGTTATCAGATATTAAATGTTTTCTAAAGAGAAGAAGTTGGACAAAGCCTAAATTAAATTGTCTAAATCCCAATCCCAGATTACAATAATCCAAATCCAAGATTCCTATATATGATCCATGAAAATAAATATGATTAATATGAATATTATTCTGGTATGTTTCTGTACTTTGCTATATATTAATTCATTCATTCATTCAACCTTAAACTGTCATTTTCAACGATGCCCAGATTACATTAAGCAAGAAAAACATAAACAATATAAACAAGAATGAAAAAATATAGAAGACAGACAATAAGCACAAAACAAACATCAACATCAGTTAAAAAAAAACTGATTCCTAATTAAAACAGTTACATGTAAAATCATTAAGATTAATAATGAGCAAACATTTAATCAGACAAATATCTTTAAATGTGTAAATAAAACCAGCAGCAGTGCATTTGGTTTGTTTTTAATTACAGTTTATTTAATGGAGCATTAAAAGTCCCAAAATTATAATAATTGTGACACAAAGGAATCAATACTGTATCCATCATTCTTTATTTGTCTTTATTGCTGCTTTCTGTCTCTATCACCTCTTATATTTGTTTATCTGAATGCATTGCACATTCACAGTCTGTCTGTCCGATGCACCAGATATTATTGAGGCCTTGCTTTGTCTTTCATTAGCTTCCACTCACTGTAACAGAGTGCGATCACAGTGTGTGTAAATAGACCTCAATCTACCCGAGCGTAGGGCAGGAGCTCTTCAGGGCTCACCGAATGAATCACTCTCCATCATCACAGATGCAAGCTGGCCCCCAAAATAGAAAGACACTTTATTATTAATGTGAAGCAATCAGGGGGAGAGCAGACTATTGACTGGGAGCACACAGACCCCTTCCGCGTGTACACCAACCTGGCTTCAAGTCAAAGTGTGTCAGGACGGAGTGAAGGCACCGATCCCAGCCGAGCAGAAGTAAAGAAAAGGTCATGTAGTGTTAGGAAGGAAGAACATCGGCCTTTAAAGCCCCAGAGCAGTCGGTTTCAAATCATAAATACCTTCAACTAGAGGAGAAAAGGACTCTTTTGGTCAGAAACAGTTAGAAAGAAACTCATAATCATCATATTTAGAGTTTAAAGCTTTCGGATCATGTAGGTAGAGAAGTGTTGGCCTCAACCTGCGTTATTAGATCGAGAGGAAATTAACTAGAGTACAATGATGCTCTTTTGGAAATGTAAACAACTGCGGGCTACAACTCGAACTTCCTCTTTTTAGGCCTCTGTTCGTTTACATTTAGTCAAACTGGAACCATCACTGTATAACTTTAATAACCTTAACCCTTCTAGAGTCATAACGAGTGTCTTTTTTCTGATTTCTAAGCAGATTTATTGGACGTTTATTCATCAGATAATGATGTATCTAAAAATACGAGTATCATCTCTCTGTGTTCAGATTTGATTTGAGTTATGTGTGATTTTTGACACAAATTACACAAATTAAACGCTAATAGTTTGTCGTACTTTAAGCATTTAAGCATTAATTTAAAGTACGTTAGATCTTTTCTGACATATATTTGACAAAAAAACAAAAGATAACTGAAAAGATAACACAGGAACACTGAATCATAACTTGTACAATATTACGTTTTATGTCAGTGTGTCTTTAAATATCCCTGAATCCTGATTGGTGGACAAACTGCCCACTTTAAACCAATGAAAGGAGCTCAGACAAAATAACCAAAACTGTTCAGAGATTGGTAATAAATAGTGTGTTTATGTAAAACCACATTGCTCATAGTATAAAGCTGATTGAGAAAATATGTTTTCAGGGCCTTTAAATCCAACTTTATCTTTATTTAGGCCTGAATTTGCTTCTGAACTGAAATCAGTTCACTCTGTTTTGGGATTAAAAAGTTCCTCTGTCTGGACTTTTACCTTCAGGGAGTCGCTACTGATGACTGAGACTACTGATGGCTAATAGAAATATATACAAGAAATTATTTGACCCCAGTGCTTTATTAAGGTATTAAATGAAAGTAGGATCCAGTAGAGAGTGGAGCTCTGCTGCAGTTTTTAGACGTGTGTATTTTTATGAATGATTTGATGCTGAAGACAAATTTCCGCATTGTGGACAATAAAGTTTTCGTATCTTTAATGACGATGGTCCAAACAGCACATTGTGAGGATGATGGTAGGAAGCAGATCGAGTCAACACATTGTTGGAGATGGGAATTCCAGATGAGAACCGATTCCAAATCGTCACAAACGCCACCGAGCTTATGAGCTTTTATCAATGCCAGCATGTGTGTTTGTCCGATGTGTCTGCTGGAAGCAACAAGAAGGAGAAGCTCAAACTACTATAACTCTACACTGAGTTCAGAATCAGAGATAATCAATCAGTTGCATTGAAGCTTAAAACCTGTGCAGGCCACACAGAAAGCTGATCAGTTATTAGAGCTTTGATTGATTACTTTACTTTGATTATTTATTTATTTTAAGAAATTCGGGTCAGAACCAAAACTGCTACCGTGGTAGGGCTCACAGATTTTTTTGGGCTCGACCCGAATTTCTGCTTAAAATAAATGAACAATCAAACAAAAGTAAACTACATTGTGCATATAATATAGTGCAAACTATTAAAACTAATCAATAACAAATTCACTCATTAATTGCAGTTGCATGCATTATTAATAAAATATTACATATATATATAATTTGTTCGGGGCCTGACCTGCAGCTTTGGGCCTGAACCCGGCGGGTCGTGTCGGGTTTAATCAGATTTCAGCAGAGAATCAGGAAGAGAACTGAACCATAAACTGACCGATTAGAATTGATGATTATTGGTTTCAATCAAACCTTATCAAGCCCCGTCCCTACACGGTGCTTGTGGTTGAATAACGTCCCCCCCACACACCAACGCGCCACCATCTTTTAACAAACACAACTTCTGTCTCCTGAGAAAGAAGAAGAAGAAGGATGTGTTTGTCCTCCGTGCTCCTCGTTGTGAATGTACAATCTGTGATAGCCGTGACAGGCCGTGACAGACGGCTGTGTTTGTGCGCCTGCACCATCTGTTTACCCGCTGCTGATGTGTGTGTGTGTGTGTTTTTTTGTTTGTTTTGTCCCTTAGGCGCAGCGGTGGCGGGGGTGTACCGCGTGGCTGGGAAGGACATGGCACCGCTGGAGGCTCTGGTGTTCGGCGTAGGCCAGACCACCCTCTCCGTCGTCATATCCTTCTCACGCGTCCTGGCCACTCTGTGAGCCCCTCGACGAGCCGGAGGACGAGACGCCGAGATGAGAGCGAGGGGAATCGAGCCAGAGACTTTTAGGTGCTCGCCGTGGCCGGGTTTGCAGATGGTAGAGAGGAGGCAGAAGTTGCTCTGGACCTTTTTTTGGGGGGGGGGGCTGTCGGCAGGAGAGAGCGCCCCCCAGTGTCTCTGCTCCGTTACTGCCACAATCACACTGCAGTTCGGAGGGAACTCAATGCAGGCCGGTCGTCTTCGTGCCGGAGAGCAGCACCAGGCGGTGACGGCGCCATCCTCAGCTTTCTGGACTTGAAAGCCATGTTTCGGGTGTTTCCAGAGTTACATCACTAATATGTGCCAACAGCCTTCTCTGGGACATCCAGATGCCTTTGTGGCCACTGACTCTTGAAGGCTTTCCGTTGCACTTGTTGGGGAGGGAGGGTAAAATAAAACCCTGTAACGATGATCTGATGATCTCCTTTGGATGATCACAGCGTGAGAACAAAAGTTTGAGCAGTGAGAGGTGTTTTAGGGAGTGACAACCCAACAGTGTTCATCAGCAAAAACACCATTTTTTCTTCAGTGTTAAACATCAGCCTCACCTCCTCGGGCTTCACGGCGCTCAAATACAGATTGTCATGATCATTCCTTTTCCTTAAAATGGTTGAAAACGCTGCACCGTCCAACTCACGAGCAAGATGCAGCTTTGAATTTTGCACTTTGTAAATGTTGGAGGTGTGAAATCAGTCAGACGTGGAGGAGAAAACCAGCATCAGCACTACGCTTGAAATATCGATTCTTCGAGTGCCAACGAAAACTCCAATCGGAGTTAAAGAAATATTTTGACACACTGGGAAGTATGTTTATTTTGTGATGTCTTGCTTGAAAGTTAGATGAGAAAAAGTCACTCACGTCTTTATGGGACGCTACACGGAGACAGTTAGCTTAGCTTAGCATAAAGACTGGTACCGGGGGGAAACAGCTAGCCCTGGCTCCGTCAGACGCTCACAAAATCTGCCTACCAGCAGCTCTAAAGCTCAATCATTGACACATTATAAAGACCTGTTGTCTAGAAATTACATTTTAAATTACACAGTCCAGAGTTCAGGTTGAGGTTAGAGATCACTGATGACTCAAAACTAATTAAATATGTTAGTGAACATTTCACTGATATGTTCAACATTTTTGCACCTTGCCGACATTTCCTTATTATGTCGGTAGAAAATGTAATTTAAAGGTAAAGGAGACAGGACTGCGTTATGAATCTTGTTTAATCTAAAAGTGATATTTTGCACATTTTTTACAGGGCGGTTTATGTACTCGCTTACTTCAGGGAGTGAAGAGCAGTTAAGAAAAGAATAATCTGCCACATAAAACCTCGTAAAAACAGTGTCGTTTTCACACTTGATGTTAAACAAATGAGATATAATCAGTGGTGCAGTGGTCCCTGGAGGAGTGGGTATACTCTTAACTTTGCCTGCAAATTTCTTTTTTTTTTAAGCGGCACATGAAGCAAGAATAAACAGCCGGTGTCATCCGACTGCTACTGCCAGTATTTACACTATAGGGTGAGACAAACACATAACTATACATTTAGAGTGACATATTACCAACCTTTACTCCATCCTGTCAAGAAAATTGGACAAAACTATCTAACGCCTTTGCCATCCTAGGAAATAAGTGGTTATACTCTATTTACTCTACCCTCCACTACACCACTGAATATAATGTGTTAATCACAGTGAGTGAGACAGAGCCAGGCGAGCTGTTTCCCCCTGGTTCCAGGCTTTGTGCTCAGCTAGGCTAACTGCATACCAGCTTCATATTTATGTATCAATATTCTCATGTAACTCTCGGCAAGAGAAGAGGAAACTCAGACAGAGAAAGGCCTGGACAAGCTGTGGTATTCAGGTTTTAAGGAAAGATGTATCGGTTGTAAAAAAAGGGTTGTTTTGCTGCTTGAGAGTCAGCTCTGGCATATTTTCAGACAAACTATCCCGTGTCTGTGAGTCCTGGTGCAGATTTTCTGTATTACCATCGTCTGCACAGCATTAATTCCCCCTAGTGGAACGCCATCTCTCCCCGGAGAAGAAGGTCAGCCACATTCTGCTGCTCAGACGGCCATTTTTCTATGGCTCCCTCCTTTTATTTATTTGTTTTTGTTTATCGACCCATGTTCCTTAAGTTTGAACTTTGCATATTGCACTGATATTAATCTGCCTTGTTTTAGCACAGTGTGCGATGAAACTACTCTGGTGTGACCCGATCCAGTATTCACAGAAGTCAGTGATGTCAGACGCAAACTGTAGAAGATCGTCTGTGAGGAAATGTGCTCGAAGCTACTGTATTTACTTGGACTCAGTGTTGATCGCAGACAGTAGTAAAGAATAGAGAGATACACTGATTTATGTGAGTTTAATGCTCATCAGTTGGCCCATAAATCCTCCCAGGATTGAAACAGATTGTCTTGTGCACAGCTCTAAATCCAGGGTGAGAGGAGATAGGTTGTAATGCCAAAGTATCACTCGCATTCTAGCTTTATTTATCACATTTGTCTCTTTTAATTGATATCACAGCCATGATTTATTCGTTTTTTTAGAAACATTTGCACATTGGCTCGGGTATCCAGATTTGGGAGGAACAAAAAAAAACCCCAATTGATATGAATTTGACAAAAAAAAGTAATTAATGTTTGTGTAAAGTGTGTGTGTGTGTGGTTTCGTAGCTCTTAAAAGGTAAACGCTGTGTATTTATAGGAGTTATGTAATTGACACAACTCACCTTCAGTACCAGCTCAGCACACAAGAGGGCGATATTGCACAGAGATGAAGTGGCAGCAGGAGCCTGAATGCCTGAAAGATGATTGTGGATTTTAAAATGATGAAAGTGATACAGCGCTATGTTAACCACCATAACCACTGAATACTCTGCACATCGTCCATACTACCTGTTTGAATGTTTTAGCTCTATTTCAGGGACCAAAATGTGAGTTGCTGCTGATGACTCACCTGCTGTCATAGCAATGATATCTCTGTGTTCATGGGGCAGTTTCTGCATGTTTGTGTGTGTATGTGCGGTTCATAGGAGACATGTTGTGAGTGTTGTTGTTGTTGTTTGGTGTCGATCTTTGCGGTTGTGCATGTGAGTAGTATAACAGGATGTTAATTTATTTTCTTTCATTAGCGGAGGTGGGGAAGAGGGGGAGGTTGTTCACATTCTTTAGCGGACCCCTAAAGCGTCAGAAAGGGTGAGGACCTAATTGTAAGTGACACTGTGTTCAGAGGAGCAGTTCACTGAGCAATGTCTTACATAACGTGTTGGAAAACTTTTTTATTTGATGTGTTAGAAACGACTTTTCTGCCAACGAAAAAAAACAGCAAGAACTGGAAGACTGGACTGAAAGCTGTGCTCTTACTGTACATCCTGAGCTGTGTATAGCCGTAGTGTACAAACAGGAGTGCCAACCAACAGCTGACATGAACTAACTAACCACTGGATAGTAATTTTTTAGTTGCTCGCACTCATTCGGAGGATTCACACCCAGTGCCATGATCACCTGTGACGAATATTGTTGTTTTTCCCCGCTCCAGGTTCTGTGAGCTGTGTGACCGCGCGTGTGTACTGCAATATCTTTAAGGAGACACCCAGCAACTAATAATCCCCTCTAGACTTTTAAAGAAAAAGGCCGTCGCACTGCAGCGAGACGCCCAGCTCAATAATCCTGTCTCTTTTCATAGGCTCATAACTGAAGCTGCCCCCACCTCAGTTCACTGTCGTCCAAATGCCACATATCCCCCCCCCGGACACATACTGTGTACCCGCTGCGATTGCATGTGCAGTGCAGCTCAGATAACGTGTGAATGGACTATACGGACAATCCAACAAGAGACAATGTTGTACAAAAACCCAAAGTGGCACCTGTAGATAATGTACAATATGTTCTTTTTTTAATTTTGTACCAGCAAAACCGCTGATATTTATAAGTACTGCCTATTTATGTACAAATTGTTCTCCTGTACATACTCAACAGTCAGTTGAAATAAAACTCTTTTGCAGTATAAACGCTCAGCCGTGCCGTTTCCTGTCTTTATTGCCTTCATAGATTTTTGCGATATCATCCTGTGGCAGTGAGACTCTGGCTGGCTGCGTCAGTCTTCCTCCTTCCTGTGTCCTTGTAGTTTACCGTCACTCTCCCTCCAGTTTCTGGCTGCCTCTTTAGGGATGAAAGAGGAGATGTTTCATTAGCTGAGGACAGGAAAATGTTCTCCCTATTTAAAAGTTGTAAAAAAAAAGTCAAGATCCACATTCAGCAGAGTCATTTTAGTTCTTTCAGATAAATGTTGAAAGTCTTTAAAAAGGCTGAAAAATCTGCTGTGTGGTGCAGATTCAAGTCACTATGGCGACCTCGATCGGCCTTTAAAGTGAGGACTTTATTTAAAGTTTGTCTGCTCAAAGGATTGATAACAGCTCTAGAGCGTTTGTTAAAAGTTAAATACATTTACTCAAATATTGTACTTTGATTTTATGTTGCTTTGTTATTTCTTCACCTCATTTCAAGGTAAATATTTTACTTTTTGCTGCACTACATTTATTTGACAACAACTATCAAAAATGTATTTTAAGAAATGCTCATATAAATCACTTCTTATGCTGTTTTCTTTATTGTGAGCTATTAAATATGTATGATCCCTAATTATTAATAATTTGTCATAATCTGAGAGTAGACACTGTGCCCTTTTACAACTTAATACAATATAACAGGTGTTTGCCCAACATCAAGTTTCAGTTTTGAACCTCTAAGGGAAAAAGTTTGGGCAGCCCTGAATTACAGGTTCATATTTCACATTCAAATGTTCATTCTCATGTGTTCAAATATTTACAGCTGGAGTCTACCATGTAGCCAAATGCTAACGTTAGTATGCAAACATGCTCAAAGTAAGTTTTTGTCATATTTGCTGAAATTTTCAGTACATACTGAGAGTAGTATAGGAGATAATCTGTGAAAAAATCCGGTTCCTCAGGCTCGTTGTAGTGCTCCTAATGGCATTTGGAAGAATCCACCGGGCCCGAATGAAAACAACCAATCAGAGCTGAGAAATATATAAAGACACTTTAGGTTGGAGGCTTGAAGATAGTTGATATTAGGGTCATAGTGGCCCACGGCAGCTTTAACACGCTCATTTTAAGCACTTATAATGTTCAACATGCTAGTTTTGTTGTCGGCATGGTAATATTAGCCAATTAGGACCAAACAAAAAAGGAGGCTGATGGGAATGTCGTTAGTTTTGCAGGTATTTTCTCAAAAGTATTCAAATGTATATCAAATGTTAACCTGAGGATTGTTCTACTGGAAAAGTTTTAAAAAATCACCAAAGTCATAATAATGAATCTGGAGGAAAGCACAAACAATATAACCAAATGTCACAGAAATCCATCCAATAGTTATTGGAAAAACTGAACTCACTGCCTCGAAGTGGCGCTGCAGGAAAAATCTGAAGATCATCAAAACTATAAAGGCGAGACAACATATATCCAATGGTAATAACATTTCCATCCTTTGAAAAATGATCTAAAACTGTCATTAAAACTCTTATTTTCATATTCTCACAGTTACAGTAAAATATTCTGACAATTATGCTGCGTGTTTGATTATTAAAAGCAAAAACTCAAGTATTCAACTTTAAGAAAACTTTAGGAGTAATGTCCCCTCTTTAGAAAAGAAAAGTCCCATTTGGCATCCTTCCTGCAAATTATTTAAACCTTCATGGATCCAAATTGTCTGTTTGACTGTAAAACATGAAAAATCTCATTAGTGTTAGTGACTGTAACTGTGTAAGCTGGCACCACACAGTTTGCTTTATTATTCACTGCGTCTCTGTTTCTATTGTCCTCAGGGGGCCAAGGCGTCATCTCCACCCGTGCCTCGTCTCCCCCGGTGGCACCGAGGGGAGGCGTAGATCATCGGAGGAGGGAGAATGGAACGTGTCTGCTGTACGTGCTCTCCTGCAGAAAACCATTTTAAGGAGACGCAAACGTTGTGTTTTGTCTGCCATGGGCGTGAGGAAGTTGGCTGTTTTCATTTGGTGGTAATGATACCCACCAAAAAAAAAAAAAAATCTTCCAGTACGTGATGCCTCATCATTGTAATGACGGGGGAGGGACCTCCTAAAACATTATGATTGTGTACCCAAGACTCCATGACTGAACACAACACAATTCAGACTTCAGACACAATTGCTTATTCTCATATCTGATTTGACATTTCGTTGCTATTCCAGCCGTGTGATGTGCTTTCCTCCCACCGGCTTGAAAGGATTTTGACCGGCCAGCTACTTTTTCAAGGCTTTTTTGGACAACGAAAACCTCAGCAGAGCCAGTTGTTTATAGTGCTGAGGAGGAGGAGGAGGAGGAGGAGGAGGAGGAGGGAGGGCTATGAATAACTGTGATGGAATTTAATCAGCCTGCTTGTGGATTCGAGAGGACAAAGGTCCCGAGTTGTTATCACCTTGTTTTTTGTTATTTTATTCTTTAATGGCGGAGAACAGAGCCTGCCTCTGCACTCCTGGTTTCCACTCATCAGCCGCTATGTGCACGGTAGTTTTATAACCAATAAGAGAGAGAAAGGCTGAGCAGCACTGATAAGAGGTCAGTGGCAGGAAGTGTTTCATAAGAGGCCAGAGAATGTGGCTTTGGTATTCATGTGTTTGGTAAACTGGGAAGAAAAAACAAATGCACAAGTGTTGTGTAGACGGAGACGGAGACTCTTCACTGACCTTAAATCACACTGAATCACTGCAGTATGTGAATCCTGTATCTGTGCATTAGTGTGTGTGTGGGTTCATGCAGACTTTCTCTCACAGTTACAGTCTGACTGTGTTAAAACATCAGGATAAAAAGGTTGTGAGCCACGACATGATGCATGACGATTAAAACATTACAATAACAATAAGACTCAAAAACATTGACAATATCCTTTTTTTGACATGAATTTCTATTTTTCTGTATCTTTATCATCATGGATCTTGCATAAAATTAGGCTTTTTTAGATTTTTTTGATATCAGAAGTGCTGACATAAAGCATAAGTCGGAATTTCCGAGTTCCCAGTCAGAAATTCCAACTTGAACGCCTCCCTGAAGTCGGATATTAAACTAGGAAAGTCGTAAGAACCTCACAATCCAATGTTGCTGCTCTGTGCGTCAACTAAGTGAAAACTGTTGTAATATCCTGTTTATTAGCGCTTCTGTCTTATGTATGTCGTATAAAAAGTGAAAAAATAAATAGTCGTACACACATTACGGTCCAGCTTCCTCTGTGAAATGCATATCGTTATCAACTGGTATTGCTAACAATGGCTAATGGCTTAACCTAAAATTAAGATGTGACTATATATATGTCGATTTTATCTTTTAACCATCTTCAAAATGTCTTTTCATCATTGACAAGGCTAGCAACGCATCATCTAAGTACAGAAAATTAGCTTCTGATCGCAGATTGCTCAACTAAGGACTTGTTGTTGTTTGTCAGGGACTGAAAGGTGTCTAAATTCCTGAAAATATCTGTTCAACTAAAGTTTTTTGGTAACATAAAGATGGTCTTTGGTGCTGGATTCTCGGAGTCCCAGCGAGTTTTAATCTCAGTTATGTCACTGGTGTTTCCAACAACCAGACAGACACACAGAGCAGAAAACCTCCATTGGATCAAAACTTCCTGAAAACATCTCCCTTTGTTCTCTGGGAATTTATATTGTTTGCAGCGATTGTTGTCACGGCCACTTTGCATATCCAAACATTCAATCATAAAGTAAAGAGCCTTGACTCCACTCGCTGCCATTGTCTTATTGATTCCTCCACAGGAAATACTCAAAAGTTGAGCGTGAGTACATACAAGAGGAGATCGCATGCTTGCTTTGAAAAAAACACCCCTCCGACAATGGCTGGAAGCAGGCCAGGTCCTTTTTGACCCAGCAGATCACTTCACATTATTGACCTTCCCTTTGTGCTCGCTGACTTGACTCCAGTTGCTCACAATGTACAGTATATAAAGCAGAGACAGCAGACAAACAGTTAATGAGGTTAGTCTCCATCAGAGGCTCGGCCCGCTGTCAGAGCAGCGCCTGCCGTCTGGACGAAGCTGTGATCTGTGTCTGGGTTTCCTCCACGCCGACCTCCTGGACTGTAATATCCCAAACAGGGAACACATTCTCCTTCAGTGTCAACACAATGAAATCTGACTCAGACCGGAGCGTGTTTACAGTCAGAAGAATGCCAAATATGTACTTTATGTCTTTATAGCCTTCAAGCCACTTCAAAAGTTGGGTTTGTTGATGTGATTTCAAAGAAAAACGTTTTTTTCTGGACTGGTAATGATCGGTTTTGGTGGCGATAAAGATTTTCTAGTTTAAGATTATAAATTATAAGTAGCTAATTGCTGCTGAAACATTTGTAATAGGTGAAATACTTGGAACAGTTGAAGGGGCAGTCGAAAGTACAAATACTGAAAGGAGTTGAAAATACAGTAGCAGTTACAATGGTAGCACTGAAAGGACGTTTATGTGGAGTTAAGTGCGATAAAAATATGAGTTGAAGTGCAATAAATTGAGCTTCAGTCAGTTGAAGTGGAAATCCTGAAAGAAATTAGCACCAGTTCAGTTGTATAAACTAAAAACAAAAAGATTTCAGTTGATGTGCCGAATAAAAGTGAACGCACTAAAAGCAGTTGAAGTAAATTGTGTGTGAATGGTTGAAGTTCAAATGTGAAGACCTCAGACCTCGAAAGGACTGGAAGCGTCAGTGTACGTGTGAGCACTGATCGAAGTTGAAATGTCGGTTCAAGAGAAAGAGATTTGTTGTCGGTCTATATGCTAAAACTGAGCCGGGAGAGGAGGTTGAAGTGGAAGCCCTGAAAGACATAAAATGAAAAAAAAAAGTCAGTTGAAGTGTTGGCTGAAGTGAAAGCAGTTGAAGTAAATTGTGTTATAACCAGTAAAAGTTTGGGAAATTTGAGTAGCTGAGGAAGTTTTTGTTGTTGTTGCTTAAAAGTGAAGAGCTGAGACATGAAAGGACTTGAA